ACTTTTCCACCCCCTGTCGCCCACTTTCAGTTGATCCAGGGGCACATTTGTAAGAGAATAAAGTCAGCGAGTACCGACAATCGACGATCACGGAATTCCCTGAGTAAAGAGATAAAAAAAATGTTTGAGAGAAAAAAAAAATAATGGTGGGACGGGGGTGGTACGTATGGGCTCATGACACGCCACAAGTTTTACGAGGTGGCATAAATAATAGGGTTAGTACTTCGTGATGTCAACTGGGAGTCCAATGGATCACATGAGTCAAGGGAGTGGGGAGAATTAAAAAAATTGATAATGCTCTTTGCTAATTACGGAGTCAAGAGCTTGGAGCGGCGACTAATCCGTTGGAATTTTTTGTTGTGCTAAGCGAGTGCCGGGTAATGTTGACATATTTTTATTTGAATTGGGGAAGAAGGAATTAACACTATTGACTGTCTTTTTGATTTGTCAACTGCACAGACAGAATTATGGCTGACATTACATATTGACATTGGATCGTAATCGTCAAGGGTTAACATGCCCGTTTTGTTCTGAGCACTGAATGTCAACTATTCAACAAATTTATTTTATAAACAACTGAAAGGAAGCTTTCGACTTCTTGAGAAATGAAGAAATATCACCGGTTGGAAAAGGATTCCGATTCGGGTCAAATTTCTTTTGAAATATTTAGCTATAATTTTCATTTTAATTAGGATGATTGTTTAATAAAAACAGACTTACATTTTCGATCCTTCAATAATTAATTAACACTAACATTTTGATAAAAGTAATATCATCACTGTTATTATATATTTTGTTTGTATTTTTTTTTTTTTTTTTCGGGAGAACAAGAATCTGGGAATCCCCTAATGAACTGAAGACTATAATTTTCGAGGCAAAATTACTCTAGAAAATAAATCTCATTTATTTCCATGTTGCACCCTTCAGTGATTTTCTTTCCATCGAATTTTGCTCGTAGCGGTATATCTTCGGGGGATTCCCAAATTTTTATGACTGTGGCGCTGTTCATCTATCATAACCTAACTCATCTGAAACATCTTTCATTTTTTCTCCAGCTATCGTATTCCATGGAAGTGGATTACAATGTGATAGGTGTGCAAGGTGGAAATCCAGAGGCAGTAGCATTGCTTCGTCCTCGGGTCAATGTCTCAGCTAAAGGTGAAGTTCCTACGGATCTACAAGTATTCAGAATAAGAATACCTTGTTCTGGTCTCGTGAGTGCTGAAATACCAATGACCTTGAGGTTAAATGTCACAGCACCATCTGGCACAAGGTACAACGACACAATGCTCATTTTCAGGAGAAATAAAATTTGTTTGAAAGGTGAGTTTATTATTTCAGTAGCGAAACGATAAAGGTCAAGTGCATTTTTTTCAAAACCAGTATTTAGCAAATATCTTGGAATTGAAGGAAGTTCCAGATATTATCCTAAAATTCTGTTTTGTAGATCTCATATTTATTTAGAGTTACCTCTTGCAGAAAAATGCATTTACCCCAGTCTATCTCTTCATTATACATTTTTCATTTAAATTGATTAAGAAATTAATTCTCCATAACAAAAATATTTATCATCGATTAATTTACTTGATAATTTAATTATGATCAGATAATTGAAAAATGGACATTGTTTATCTAAAAAATTTACAATTGAGTTCAATGTTGCAAGTGATGTGTTGAAGATAAATATTGGGATTATATTCTCGACTCTTTCATCACCTCGACTTTTCCCCGCGGATATTATTCCTCGCCCAGAATAAATTCCCTAATTTTTCACCCTGAAATTCCCTGAATTTTCAATTTACTCTCTGGAAAATATATTCCTGTCGTTATTCACCATTTTAATTTCCACATTTATATCATGAAACCACTGGGCAGAGATAGGCAAAAGTAACGAATGTTTCCGATTGAATTTTCAATTAAAATTATGGCTCTAGTCTGGTTATATGGTATGACAGTTAATCACCGGCTCTTGATGATTTTGCGGGTGTAAGCGGATGTGGGTAATAGAATCTGAGTTTGAGAGTAATGGTACCGAGAATTGAGGTAATGGGGATGTATATCAAATCATTGAGTTTTCCTGTTGAATTTCATATTCCAACTGCTTGAATGAATGAGATCAAAAATTAATCATCCCCTATTTTCCTCAACTTCAGAATAAGTTTTAATAATAATGTATTAATGAAGAAAATAATTCAATTAATCTTTCACTCAAGAGTTTTCAGAATTTAATTTCAACTTTACTTTTGATTTCGCGGGTTTGAATAATTTAAGCTGTCATTTTAGGGGTAATAATTCTTCAAT